CAATAAGCATGACATGGCAGGTGTGATGTGTACAAGGCACTAAATTCTTCTGCCAAAGGTACTAGAAAACATCTGCTCACATGCGTGTGTGTGCATGTCAATGGATGAATTGCTGAGAAAAATGACTGCAAGTGGAATATTTAATATGCTTGTATTCACCAAGATAAAATTAAACACAAGGTAAGATCCGATTTTTATGATGTATACATGCCATCAAATATACCTTGCTTAACCTGTATTAAGTCCATAACCCTGTGTTTTTATATGTATATAGTCAACTGCCAATCAAGTAGCAACATCCTGGTTCTCTGCATATTAACATGATTTTTAAAATATCTTCAGGTTTCCATTCTAGGCCTTGTTTGGTTATTTGCATGCCATCTTAGTCCAGAAAGTACTCAAGGAAATGCTAAAAGCATTGAAAAAACTTATCTATGAAATAATTCCAATGATTTACTTTAGGAAGACTTCTTATTTGTCCCCAGATCACATGCTTAGCCACAACTCAACATATTTGCTGATGCTTTTCCTCCAGTCAAGCAAGCCTCCCTTTTGTTCTTATTCCACTCCCTCAGTCAAACTCAATCCTGGATTATTATAGCCCACATTGACTTCACCCCTATAACACTTCTTTGCTAGGCCAATCCTTTCGATACAATAAGATATGGACTATCTTGAATTGTTTAATGTGTTCCAGTTTTATGTTGACCATGCCACAGGAGGGATAGTTTCATTCCATTTATAAGGAAATCCACTGGTCTTGTGGAACAAGAGACATGATGTCAAAGTAGTTGAATTCTAATATTTGTTCTGCTGACTCTATGACCTTGGACAAATATGACATTGAACCATAAACCAAATTGTCCAAGCCCAGCTATTTCACTCAATAAGCAAGACATACATCCCAGAAAGTTATTTTAAGGATTAAAAGAGAATTAGAATAGATGTGACTGAATCTAAGAGTTCAACATATGTCTACTGAATGAGGTACATGGGATATAACCAAACATTTAATGAAACGTGGGTCGTAAAAACGTAATGCCACCAGGAATGAAATTTACAAAGCAAGAAAATAGGAAGTGGCCATTTTATAATGTTCATGGAAATAGCCTACATGCAAACAAGAGGGGTTATTTACATTCAAACCCCTATTCTGAAAACTAGAAAAATGATATGCAGGCACAAGAGAACAAAGCCTATTTTTATTTGAGCAACGCAGGTAAATGAAGATGTCTCCATCCCACTCAAGAGATTAGAGCCTTTCTTTCAACACTTTGAATATACCACCCTGTTCTCTTCCAGTCTACAAAGTTTCTGCTGAGGAATCCACTGATAAGCAAATGGAAACCCCTTTACATGAGATGAATCACTTTTCTGTCAATCAAAGGTATTGTATCTAGCAAAACTGTCTTTTAAAATGAAAAACATTAATACTTTCTCAGATAAATAAAATGTGAGAGTTCTTTACTACTAGACCTGCTCTACAGAAAATGCTAAATAGAATCCTTCAAGTTCAAATGAAAGGATAGTAGATATCTACCCAAAGCCATACAAAGATATAAGGTTCTCTGACAAAGATAAATACATGGAAAATTATGGCAGCCTGTACTATTGTGATTTTTGGTACACAGAATTTAAATAATAAAAATACAAAAAAAACTGAAAAAAAAAAGAGATTAGAGCCTTGTGAGGAGACGTTGGTGTAATTTGTAGAAATGAATGCTTTATAATGCTAAATGGTAACTTCCCTGAAGGAAGACCAGGGTGAGGAGCTCCTGATTTCTTCGAAAGGAAAGCTGAAATTGCTTATGGCATGACAGTTGTTTAGACAATGTTATACCACTCATATAATCTCTCTTTGGATACTACAATTTGATGATTAGATAATTCAATTCCAGAATTATTAATGTTGGAAGACTTCATTCATTCGTTCATCAAAAATTTCCTGTTTCCTATCTGTGTGATCTTGGGCAGATTATCTAATTTCCTAAAGTTTTGTCTGTTCCTCTGAAAAATGATAAGAAGATCTAGCATTTTGGTTTGTGCATATAAGAAGATAATCCATGTCAATTGTATAGTGTTTTGCTTGGCAGTTAGTAAATGCCCTGTAACTAATAGCTACCTTCTTGCTACTTTTACTCCTGCCACTATAAAAAGGAGAAAGTTACACTTCCTAGGATGATCCTGAACATTGCTCCCTATTCAGACATCATATGTCACTTCCTCTGTGAATCCTACCTCCAGGCTGAGTTCGTCACCCTTTCTTTAGTTTCACAGAACTTTGTCTATGTTATTATTGCAACATTTACCATTGTGTATAGTAATAATTTGTTTATATCATTGTTTTCCTGCCAAATTTTTGAGCTACTGAAAAGCAGGAATTTTTGTCTCATTAATCCTTTCATCACTAACGTTGATCAAGTATTCCACATGGTAGGAATCTAATAAATATTTATTGACTAGGCAAATGAATGAATAAATTTATTGATGTGGTATATTAATACATAAACATTTAACCATTACTCTGAAATACCATAGTCGTCTGAGGTTCAGAATACCAACCTTAGAAACTCATGAACTTTAAACATAACACAAGGTGTTGATTTTAAACTTATACATATCTGAAAGCTTTTTTCTGGGCTATTATGCTTCCCTTAGAGTCCTGTGTGGACCTAATGAATTCGGTCAGAAGGATTCTGTTGAAGTTTTCCATGTTTACTATCACTGGGGTAATTATAATAAATCAGGAATTTCGCGACTTGAGAACTCCTTCCCAAAAAAGCCCAAGTTTGGTGAGTGTAACTACTGTAGCGCAGGACACAGGTGGACAAAATGGAGAAAGAATACGTAGACAGGATAGTTTGATCTCTGTTCTCACTGACAATCAATCTTGTATTATTTTTACTATTATTGTTATTACTATTACTATAGAGGCAACCTTGGAAACCCATGTGATAGAGACTCCTAATCAGAAATTAAGAATGTGTAACTAACCCCTTAGACGTGGTACAAAACACTCCAATGAAAATCTTTACCATTTCTCAGAGAATCATTCAGACAGAAAGTATGAAGAACCATTTATCCCTAATTTATATAAACTAAAAGAGCCTAAGATTCAAAAAAATTTTAATTGGTGTTCTTATGACCCTGAGGTCTTTGAATCAACAGATACATAGTCTTCTGTATTTTAATACTAAATATATTTTATCATCTAATGCTATTAACATTGTTAAAGTGTGTATGATTTAACTGTATAGTAATCATTCTGGCTTTCCCAGGGCTATCTCAGTTTTACATTTTCAGTTGTATAAGTAGGCATGTATTTGTCAAACCATATATCCCAATTTAGGAGGCAAAAATTTTCAACTTTAATTGTGAGTCTTCAGTTAATTAAAATGTGCAATGAACTTGAAGCTCCATTCTGGGTCATTGGGATTGTATTTCTAAACTTAAGTATCTGATTTATGCTTTAAAGTAAATATTTGTATATCACCTGTGTATCACTTAATATGTAGATTTATCAAACAAAATGAGGGAATTCCCAATAATGGATTTGATCCAACTTTGCTTCAGCACAAATTGGCAATGGCAGAAATTCCCCTATTGTCCTTTTCTCAGTTTTATTAGCTCGTTTTTCTTCTACTTCTCTCACTGCATGGTAAACCTTCTTCTGCCTATGTTATAACAACTTCCATTCCAAAAGCTCAGACAATGGATGATGTTTACTTGCTGTTTGCAAACAACAGAATCCACAGTGTTGCCAGCAGATGCCCTTGATTCACTGTGAATGAGGAAGGGAATTATAGGAAATCAGTGTGCATTGTATGTCCAGCTGAGATGGATGCTGGCAGAGCAGGCTCCAGGCAAAATTTCAGAGCACAAAACTGTGTCTTCTGGGTCTCTCCCACTCTAGGTCATCTCTTTGAGGTTAACCATCTCCTTCACACATCTGTTCAAGACATGCAAGCTTCTCAACTCTTTTAAATCATGTTTCATTTTCTCAAGACCTGCTAGTTCATCTGATAAAATTAATTAAGACAGATAGCTAAGGCCATACTTCCCAGCTGGTATATTTCAATAGAGAACTTCTGGAGAGTCAATATCCTAACCTAAAGCAGTAGGTTTCTAAAACAAAACAATGCCTTGTACCACTCAGGTCAGTGAAGAACTATTTATCAAGAACTGTGAAGAGTCTAAAATCTTACCCTACTTAGAAGCTGACAAATTAGACTGCCATAGTTTCATAGATACTGGGAGGAAAAGGAGACTCCTGGATCAGAGACAAATGACTTTGTTACTGTCAGGACAGCCAGCAGCATAAGTACCATGTTTGTGTCAATTCCCTCTTACCCCACATGTCCCATAGGGTGACCAACTGGGGCCCCAGTGGATACTGCACCTTCAGTGGCTGTGAATCACCATTGAGAAATCACAAGCTTAGGGAACCTGAGTCTTCTTTTTTTTTTTTTTTTTTTTTTGACGGGGTTTTCATCATGTTACCCAGGCTGGAG